ATTTATATCACTTGAAATGACGACATATGAAGAATTATAATATAAAATTACAACAAAATTTATTAAGAGCAAAAGTGCAATGATACACAATAATTTATTGAATATTTGAAAATATATGAAAATTAGAGAAAACAAAAGAACATATGGAAGAAGATTATCTAAATATAATAATTTGCTACAAAAGGGAGAAAGGAAGTGTATATCATCCCCTCAAGTGAAATCAGTAATAACTGGTCATGAAAATAATACTAAAAAGATCAAAGTAGAATTACCTATTATAAAATAGAAGAAAGATATCGTGAAAATTAACAGGAAGTGATATACTTGTATTTTGTGTCTAGAGAAGCAAATTCTTTTAAGCGACTATTTCTTGAGTCTCGCTATGCTAACAATCTTGTAAACCATATCATTAAAACTCTGGTAAAACAGGAAGCGCAGTTTACCTAATTATTTTCTCAAGTTTTCAGCATGTTGATGATCAAAAACTTGCTTGTAATTATGATGAAGTTGTTCAATCAAATGATTCAGTTCTTATATTTTTTGGAGATCCTTTAGATGATCCTCTTCTGGAAGTAAACGTAATTCTTCTCTATACTGTTGATAGGCTTCTTTAAGTCTATCAAATCTGTTCTTTCTATAAGTTAAAAGAAAAAAAAGTTGCATCATTTCATTTTCCAAACGATTACATTCAAAAGAAAACTCATTAGAATGATTTAAGGAAATTGCTATTCGTCTTCTCAGGTCTAAGTTTTCTTGACGTAATTCCAAATTTCCTGATGAGTTGCTGCTAAATGGATATTTTGATAAGAACCTGCAATAAACATAAAAAGGTTAGAATGCTGCAGTCAAACTAAGCGAGGTCGAATATACTGTCACACTCATTCAGGTGACGGATGAGTTGCATATTCTATCAAGCTCAGGCAAAGCCCATGCTGAAATGCATTCCATATACCCAGTCATCCAGTCTATGACCATTCTACCTGTCTCATCTTCAAAAACTCTTTCACTATTACATTCTCTTTGACAAATTAAAGTTCTACGATGAGTAGAAGAAGATTTCTTGTTGTTTACTCTAACCATACCTCTTCTTTGATAACATGTATGAACTATTTTGTGGAAAGAAAAATGAGATAAATATCTACATTAATATAGCGCTTATGTTAACTTCATTCAATCTCTAGTCTTTTGCCCTCAAAAAGTATCGAATGTGTGGCATCTCCTCAATACTTTAGTAAACTTAAAACATTATAGTAACTTTAAGTATTATTCATTAAATCTTCAATGAGTAAAATGTATTTCATTAAAAAAAAACAAAAACTTACAAAAGATAGATAGCAATAATTTTAGTGTAGAAAAATTTTCTTTGAGAAAAAGGAAGAAATTTGAAAAGGGATTTTTATATTCAAATAAATAGCATGAGAAAATTTTAAACGACATGGGAAATTTTCTACTGCAGAAAAATAAACAAAGGATTATTGATATCCATTAGCTAATGATGATCATCAAACAAGAAATTTGTAGAACAAAATAATAACGATTAAAGAACTTGATAAATCTTGTTTATGGATTGATGATCAAAATAGAAGGAAGTGTAATAAATCTTAGAATCATCACAAATGTAATATTCAAACTCAATTTGGTATATGCACATTCAAAATACAAGAAAAAAAAATTTTGGTTTGCATAATCTGTTTATCAAAGATTTTTTCTCATGTTAAATTACTTGAAATTAAATTTGAATGAACTTTTTCTGATTTAGAAATAGATTATATTGTAATACTTTTGCTTTTACTAATTCTTTTTTTACATAAAAATGTTTTGATATTACTTGCATTAAAAAATTCAATTAGATGTATAGTATTGTTATTTTTTGTTATTTTTATTTTGTTATTTTTTATTTTACATAAAATTTATATGTTATTTCAAATTTCTTAATAATTACGTATATATTAGATTTCAAAAAATAAAACATTTTAAACAATATAAAAAATTTTCTTTTGCAATTGTATCTATTAGTTGATGATGATTATAAATAAGAAATTTGTAAATATGATAAATCTTGTTTGTAGATCAATAAACATAATGAAGAGAGTTAATCTATTGGATAAAAATGATGTAATAAACCTTTAGAATTATCATAATGTAATATTCAAGCTTAATTTGATATCTATACATTCAAAGTATAATCTTTTTTTGGTTTGAATATTATTATTTGTTATTTTTTTATTTTACGTAAAATTTATACGTTATTTCAAATTCCTTAATAATTCTGTATACATCAATTTTCTAAAAAATTATAAAAAAAAAATCATTATAAAACATACGGAATTATGATATGGAATCATCAATTACATATATAAACCTTATAAAAAACGTATCATTTTCTTATTTCGATTTCTTATAGGATACATTTTATATATTTATTAGAATTAGCAGATTTAGCAGATATTATGATATAATAAGATTATATAATTTATTTTATTAGATAATTTTTTTTTAAATAAAAATAATTTATATATTATAATATATTAATTTATATAATAAATTAATTATACCTAATTTATTTGTTATATTAAATATATCAACTAATAAATATATCAATAATATTATATACATTAAAGATATAAATTATATGATATTTTTAAATATATTAATTATTTACTATATTATATTTTCTTATATTATAAGAATCCTATTATAATGCAAAAAATAATATATTTACCTTGAGAATAGTTTTAAAACTATTATTTAAATCCAAAGTATAAGAATATGAATTGATTATATATCAAATCAATATTTGAGTAAATAGATAATAAAAAACTAAATATTAATATATCTGAAAGTATATAGTCTTTACTTTGCTTTAAACTAATAAATAAATAGAATTATAAATAAAATTAGAGTAACTATTTATTAAAAAAAATATGATCATAATTTAAAGAATCAAAAAGCTTGATCAAATATTTTAAATAGATACTATATTTAGTTTATAATAAACTTTTCTAATAATAATATTTTTTTTAATTAATTTAAAAAGCAATACATTATTAATAAATTAATATTTATACAATAAAAGTTGATATTACATAAATAAAGTCTAATAAATCCTTATATATATTAAAATTAATCATTTTTGATTTCTATTCAATCGATTAAATATTAGATAATTAATGTTATCAATACTTTAACAATAATGCAATAATTCTTTGTCTTTAACAAAAAAATAAAATGGTAAAGAAACTAATAAGTTCTCTTAATTAATTAAACTTTATATATATCAAATAGTATCTGTATCTTATGTAATGCCTTCACTTATTTTATAACTAGATTAAAACATTAATTATGGATTAAAACGATTAATCTACTTAATCTTTTGAATAATGATTTTTATTCATTAATTTTCTTGCTTTAATAATACGATATTGTGTCATGACCCTTTCTCTCTCTTTATCCATGATTCTTTTATTAACAGCATTCAACTGTTTATTTTTCTGCTCTCTCTCCTTCTCTAAACTATCCTTCTACAAAGAAATTATTAATTAAACATTTAAATATTTATTTAAAAAAAAAAAAAACTTGATAGCTTACTTTTAATATTTTACCACGATGTTTAGGTATAACGGTTAATGATGGAGGAGCTTGAACTACTTCACCAAATTTTACTTTATCCTGAAAATCATTAAAATCTTTTGCATTAACCTCTTCGATTAATTTTTCTATTTTGGCTTTTTTCTTTTCCTTTAATTTTTCTCGATACCTATTTAAAAAAATAATCAATAATAATAGAAAATTATTTATTTGAATTGATAAAAAGGATTACTGGTAAGATACCTTTTAGCTTTGTCTTTAGTTGACATCCCTACTTTCATTGCTTTAATAATATCTGGTCTCATGTGATCTTCCAACCTCCTACATTTTATAATATTATATTAGTTATAATAATGACGATAACAATAATAAGTAATTACATACCTGCTAAAATTTCGAAATGATTCACCAGGCATTCTTTGTATCGTCTATTTTATTAAAATCAAAGGGAGGATTTATGAGATAAAGTTACGAAGATAAAACAAATAAATACATCATATGATTGAACATTCACTTGTTTGCTTTTAATTCGAGATGTTTCAACAATTTTATTTTTCTTAAATTCATTAGCTTGTAACAATCTTTTAAAATTACGAGGAATATCTGATATCTTATCAGAAACAGGTGAAGCATCGTATCTTATATAAAAATATAAAATTAAAAAATTGTTCGGATATTAAATTAAGAATATAAAAGAATCAAATACTTTGATTGATCTTTTTCTGTTCCTCGTTTTCTTTTTCTTTTATTAGGCATGTTTTTAAAGTGTGAAAAAATTTTTTTGATGGAAATCCACATTTCTCTGTTTTTTGCATAATCACGTGATTAAGGTTATGGGATATATACAATGATTTTCTGTGTTCACAGAATTTCACAGAATTAACTTTTATCACACAGAATTTTGAACCGCAAGAATTTTTGCCAAATTTAAATTTTTCTCCTCATAGTGATTAAGGATGAATTTAGACGATCATTTTCCGAAAATGTAAAATCCGATTTTTTTTTTTGCAATTTTCATTTTGAAATGTTTTTTTTAAAAATAAATCGTACAGCATTTTCTCTAACAAACTATCTTACACAGAATTTGCTTATAAAAAGAAATTACATATTATTTCCGACTTTTCAAAATGCAGTTACCATCAATGTTACAACAAATAAGTTGATATTACCATCAATTTCTTCGTTCTTCCTCCAACGTCGTCACCGAGCGGAATTCGCTCCACGTCATACGAAATATCGAAAAGCTCATAAAGGTCGTGTTCCAGTACGTATAGGTGGTTCGACAAAAGGAAACACAATAGCGTTTGGTTCATTCGGATTGAGAGTAAAAGATGGTGTACGGTTATCTTCAGCTCAATTAACAGCAGCTCATACCGCTATTAAAAGAAAAATTAAAATTATTAAAGGTAGTCAAGTTTGGATGCGTGTTTTTCCTGATATACCTGTCACCTCGAAAGGTAATGAAACGAGAATGGGTAAAGGAAAAGGTAATTTTGATTATCATGCTTGCAGGGTACCAATGAATAAAATTCTATTTGAAATTGGTGGTGGAAATATTAGAAAGGAAGTTGCTAAAGAAGCTTTAAGAATAGCTTCCGATAAATTACCTGTTAAAACCGAATTTGTGGAAAAGGAGGATGAATCAAAAAAACAGAAAAAAATTGATGAGGTAGAGATTATTTATATAGAATAATTTTTTACAATTCTTTGCAAAAAAATATATATATAATTTTTTTCTGAAGAAAATTTTTACAAATTGGTTTTTTTTTATACATGTTTTCGTGTAAACTAAAAACAAATATCTACTAGATTGTATATATATATTTTTTTTAGCCGAAATTTATTCAGCATAATACATATATTTATTTATACATATATTTGGAAGCAAAGTTTATCTAGTTAAGTTTTTATTTTATCAGTTTATATATCTATATATACGAACTTGTGTTTCGCTTTAAAATATTAAAAGAAGGTACCCGTTGCTGGTTTACGATCGCGAACTTTTGCCTTCGATAAGATATACATTTAATTAATAAATATATCAAAGCATGTTTATGTAAGAAAAGATTTGATTTCATTACCTCAAAGAATTCATTGATATCTTTAACTGTGACAGTCTTGCCTGATTCTCCAAATGGTTTTAAAAACTCAATAAGCTCATCCCTAAAAGATTATAATTAGAATCAATTTGTTGCACCTTTAAACACCCATTGATTTTGTCATGATACGTACTTGAATTGATTATAAGCAAGTATTCCTAGATATTTAAAGGTCAACAATAAATAAGTAATTAAATTTAAACCCATTCAAACCTTGACAAAATATTACCTTCGATTGCAGCGACCCTATCCATTTGATTCAACGCTTTCATTCCGCAGTCAAACAATGATTTTTCTAAATATTTTATGCTCATATTCAAATAAAAGTAAAATTGCAACCCGCAACGCGCGTAAAAGAAAAGCCAATAACTTACGTGCGTCATCATCTTCTGGTGGTTCATAAGTCTCTTCTACGTTGAGAATGAACTCAATTTGATGTTTTTTATAAAGTTCAATACACTAAATCAAAAATGATATGTTATCCTTATTATTAATAGACGCGTATGTTCTTGTAATTCTTATTAAGTAAGTATACTTACTTTAATACAACGGCATAATACATCACGCCAGCCTTGAACACAAAACAAATCGACTTCTACGTCATCATTCACTACCGGCCATCTTTCACGCTTACACACATTAGTATCATCAGTATCATCATTCTTTGACCTTTTAGGCAAGGCTTTGCCATCAACCACTTCAGCTTTCTCAATCTTTCTTTTATTATTTACAGGTAGAGTTGGTGAAGACGGCAAACCTGCGCAGGTTTGAATTGTAGTGGTTTCATTCTCCTTACAGCTGACAATAATAGTGGGAGGCGGTGACGTTTTATCACCGGTGCTGGAGTAGTTGGATTTCTCGTTAATCCCATTAGCTTGCTGGGTTTTTTTCTTGTATTGACCAGAGAAAAACATGTGTGAATTGAGATAAGGCTTTAGAAAAGAATATTTGTCAAGGCATTTGTGACACATGAATTCTTCAAACGTCTCCAAGTCAGGTAACTAAAAGAAACAGAGAAATTAAAAAAAACAATACACAAATGATCTTGTGTAACGATTATGTAAGCAATACAAGTAAAACTTGTATAAATAGGGTAAGTGAATAATAATTTTGTGGACACGTTTTTTAATCATACCGAAAACTTCTTCTCCTCTTGCTTTTCTCCACTAATACAATTTTCATGAAACCAGTCTTCGCATATGACACACTATAATAAAAACACTTTTTTGTTATTATGTTTTTGTAGTAAACTTTACTTTTGAAGCAATACATTAGAAACTTAAAAAAAGATATATAATTACTTGAAGCATATTATTCTCTTCTTTCTCTGGATCATAATCAACTTTGCACCTTTGAAAAAAGTGTAGTTTTTTTTTTTAATAATAAAGAATTTACTTAAAGAACTTGGAAAAAAAGTTTTGCTAAAATATGATGGATGCTAACCAACAGAAACGACCTTCATAATTATGATCATATTTATTATGTTCATTCAACGTATTTGATGGTTTCGCTTCGAGTTTACAAACGGTTGTTCCAAGACGAGCGGTTCCACAATCGCACTTAAAATTACGTTTAGGGAACAGTTCAACGAGCTCATGGTCTATGTTGAAAAAAAAGTAATAAATTACCTCATGTAACGTATTATTAATGGAATTTTATGTTTTAAGGTTTTTAATACTTTACCTGCATGGCAAGAAATTGAACATGAATAACAAATACCACCTGGTCCATACCCTTCATTTGGTTTACAAGTTTTACAAGCGTAAACTAGTTGGCGTATATACCCTTTATTATATGTGCACTCGTCAAATTTCCATGATAGTATTTCTCCCGCTTCTTCCTCTAACAATCTTTGCCTTTCTAAAATCTCCTTTACCGTTAACGTTTCTTTCGTGTCTTTAGGATTCATTGCAGTTGAATAAAGGGAATAAAGGAAAAAGTTTTTTTTTTAAAAAAAAAAAAAAAAAAAAAAAAACGGGAAAAAATCTATTAAGCAAAAATTTTTTATAAAATCTTGTTTATACTAGTAGTATGTTGTAAACTGTAACACCTATTGGCAATGTGACTAATTTTGGTCCAGTGATTATCTCACAAATGTGTAATATTATTGGCTTACTGTTAATTATCACGGTCCGTTATAATTTTTTTTTTAAAAAAAAAAAAAAAAACTCAAGTGACGTATCGTGTTCTTTCTAAAACACAATCTTACACGTTTCTGTTCTTTAACGCGATTGTCTATAATAATTTGACATATCTCAAATATTATATTAAGTATAAAACTTTTTTTTTTTTTTGGAAAATAATAATAAATTATCAACAAAATAATACTTAATTTAATTTTATAAAACATGGTTTTATTATCTTCTGACAAAGTTCATTATTTATTTGTAAAAGTATTCATTTTTTTATTTGCAACTATTTACACTCGCGGAAACGGCTCTAAAATAACACCAGTGTTATTTTTGCTATTTATGTGTAAAGCAGATCATGCTCAATTTATCACATATTGCGACGATCATTTGTCGATCATTGTTTCTAAATAATTATAAAAAATTAAAATCAAAACTTATTATTAAATTTAAAAAGTTTAAAAAAAAATTATAGAAATTATTTTTTAAAAAAAAGTTTTCAAAATAATGTAATGTCTAATTTAAAACGTTTAAATTATTAATTATGTTTAATTTTAAGGGAATTACTTTATTACCTAGACAATTAACATCTAGATGATTGTCATCCATCTGAGGTTTTTTTTAAATATATCATATGATGTATAATATATAAATAAATATAATTATTTTCTACTAACAATTATTAAATTTACCCAGTTAGTATGTTAAATAATCTTTCAAATGTATGAAAGTTTATATTAAATCATGTAATTAAGTTACATATCTATGTTAAAATTAATAATCAACCCAATCAGATAATTGCTTATTTCAACCAATTAAGTAAAAAAATTTGAGATGTGTAGCAGAGACATGCACAATAAACTGATAATCAGTATAATCATATATAATTATATGAAATCTAAACACAAATAGGCTTTTTTTAAAAAAAACAAATTTTTTTCATACATAACTTTTACTTTGCATTTTGTCTTTGACATTACTTTTTTTACTTATTTTGCTCTTGAACTTGAAGTATGACAAGACTAACAAATTTTATTAATTTGAATTTAGAGTTTATTTAATATTCAATATAGTTTGGTTATTACAAGTTTATGATAAACTTTAAAAAACTTTGAAAATTCAGGCATATTTTAATATTTTTAAACAGTTATAAATATTCACACTATCACTTACATAAAAAATACATCACTAATATGGTAGATATATTACATATTATATAACTGTTAAATATTAAAATTAGCTCTTTACTATCACTTTATTTCCTATACCAAATCACCTTTTCTTAATTACAGAATATAGAATTACAAAATAGAATATAAAATGAATAATATGAATAAGCACCACCTTTTTAATATGTATTCTTTAGTAAATAAAAAGAGAGATGATGTTAATGAGATACAAGTTGAATATAAATATGAAAGTATGTCTAATAAAGAAGAAAAATATCTATTATTTGACCTTAAGGTTGAAGATGTATTTGAAATCAAGAATTTTGCTGAAAAACAAATAAAGAGTTCTGCAAAAAATACTAGTTATAAAGTGAAGAAGTTTCAGTTTGAGAAAACAAAAAAAGCGAGATTATTTGTCAAACTTTTAAATGTAGGTGTTTAAAAGTATATCATGCATAGAAAAAAGCTGACATAAAGAATACCTGTGAGCATAAAAGTATTAAAATTGTTTACTCTTAGACTACAGTCATACCTCTCTATAGCGAATTTTAATATAACGAATTTTTTGGACAACTATATTAAATTTACCCTCGTTATAACGAACTAGCCAATCAAATTCTTTAAAAAGTTCACTATAGCTCTATAACGAAGTTGAAGTTCAGGACATAAAATTCGTTATATCAAGGGTTGACTGTATTAATCTTCAGCTTACTGGTATTCTTGTATATATTACTTTATTATGCAATAAATATAATCACTTTTTTGTTAAAAAGAAAATTTAGTATCAAATCATAATCTCAGTCAGAAATTCTTAAAGAAATCAAATTTCTAGTAAATGTTGGCTATGATATAGGTCTGATTATTCACGTAATTCAAAATGTTTCCTGAGATAGTAATATGTCTAAAGTATGTATATAATGCAATTTATCACATTTGAAATAATTAGAATAAATCAAAAACAGATGCTACTGAAATATTTAAAAAATTAATGAAATTACAATATGAGAGTTTGTTAAAATAAGACTGAAAGGTAAAGACAACTAACCAGTTTACAGATTTTTTTTGGATGAGATTATTGCAGATAGAACTGTAAAATAGGTTTTACAATATTATAATTAATGATAATATATTACAAACAAATAAATATTGAATGTACTTATCTATTATTATAATAGTAGATAATTATGTATAATTACATATAATCGTAACTAAAGATGGGAACTGTAATTAATATGTTGCAACTTTTAATGTTGCAACTTACATTGCAATTAGTTTTAACCTATATATGTTGCAACT